CAACAGATGGTCCGAGCACACGTACAGACTATACACAGAACCTAAATGGCGAACAGAGTTGTGACCAGCCTACCGTACAAACTGGCAAGTTGTCTTCGGACTCAACCTAGCCAACCCGACAAGTGTCTGCCATTCGGTACTTACTCAGATATTTTCTCATCACATATCGCTCCGTAGCTGTAATCTAAGGTCTTCAAGACTTAGCCAACCTGAACTTCCAACGCGATCTGCACAGTCGAAACCCTCGGAGCCTACAAAAGTGCAAGCTTCAGGCCTGAATATCAAAGAGCGCATATATCCCCATGCTAACGCTGTTTTTATGAGCCTCTTCAAGGGAGGGATGTCAACATTAATCAGAGACCGTGTAGCATATCACTGTATGTCATAGTATTGTAGTTTGGCATATGGCTAGTGTAGTATAGAGTACAACCTAATATGTTGTGGTGTGGTATATTACTAGGTGGCAATTTGGGAAACTTTAAAATTTCCCTTATGGTTTCTATAGAGGTACCTATTCATAAATACTTTTCAGGGCCCTAAAACTACAACCCAGATTATGAGCCTGAGGAAGGCAGCCTCGCTATGCGAACCCCGGCTGCGTTTCCAGTGGATTTGCTCGGTTCAGGGTTTTCCGCTTTCCTGATGTGCAGGATCCGCGACTCGAGTCCTTAACCCTAAACCCTAAACCGCGAGAGGGGGAGCGAGAGAGAGAGAGAGAAGGGCCGGCTCCAGCTCAGGTCTTCAAACTTCCGGGAGTTATTTCTGGATTTCTTCGGGCTTGCGCACGTCTTTCTAGTGAACTTGGTTGACTCATGGCCAATGGCCAAAAGACATCAAAGTTCGCAAGTACCATATGTTGGAATATGCTTGCTTCCCTCTCTGCACGATTGTCTCACATCTTCTCAGAACATAATATAGGGGCCTTAATAATGTTACATAGGGTTTTGGGGCCCATTATGCTATAGTTATAAGAAGGAACCCCCCCAACAAAAATACAGGTAATCATTTCGGGCCCTACATTATTGGCAGAATTTTTGGAGCTGCGCATGCTCTTTTTTTTCGACTGAGCCTGCTGTGGCCACGCAGTTGCGTGGTGTGGAAGTTTGCAGCCTGGAGCTTTCTTCCCTGGCGGAGCTTAGGCCCTGAGGCTCCATGTACCCATATAGTATATACTTCGGCCTTAAAGTACCTTTATGGGGACCCCTTTAAGGCTTAAGTTCCTACTATAAGGGTACATGGAGCCTTTGGGAGGCCTACTACTCCAAGGCGAAGGCCGCCTCTTCCGCCGCTTGGCACACCGAAGCCCAGGGCTGGGCATTGTTTGGGGTTGGCCCGAAACCCTAAACCCTATAAACCCTAAACCCTAACCCCTACAACTTAGCCGCCTGTCCTTTCGTTTTGGTTGAGGGGAGGGGGCCTCTCGTTTCAGCATCGAGTTGACCACGCAACCTGCTGCCTGGGCTATTATTGGGGTTTAAGGGTTCAGGGTTTCGGGAGTTTAGGGGTTTAGGGGTTCAGGGTTTAGGAAGTTTAGGGGTTTTGGGTTTTGCTTTAGCTTGCCAAAACCCCTGCCACAAGATTTAGGGTTCCCTGTAGGTCCAGCCATGCGCTATGGTTCCAGTGAAACGAATTGCAGTCTCTACTGTCCCTCGTCACGTAGCTCCTTCACTAAACGCACAACTGACTAGACCCCAGCCGTCAAATGCAGCAAAGCACAGCACAGCAACCCTGAACCCTCAACGAAGAAACAACATGCAAAATAACTGAACCCTAAAAGGAAGAACAACGAAGTACAGCCTGAAACCCTAAACCCTAAACCTGAAACCCTGCTATAGGTGGACTTCTTGGCGGAGAAAAGGAGCCATACTTAAAAAAAACCCCAAACCCTACACCTGGAGCTGACCAGGTGGAGGTCCATGTCACAACCTGTGGGAAGGTGAAGAAAATACCTGGAACCCCTCCGGGGCAGGCGGATCGCAGAGCAGAGTTTGGTAATCTAGGGGCATACATAATTAGGGCTTAGGGTTTAGGTAATACTATTTCGGGGGTTCCTTACTATAATTAGAGTAGAGTGGGCCACAAAACCCTATTCAGTTTTTTAAGGCCCCTATATTAGGAGTCTTTGCTTGAAAAGATGTCCGTACAAGTTTTAGATGGGCTCGGTAGAGGAACAATCGTAGAGCGGCCTTATAGATGCATGAAACATATAGCTTTGCCGCTTAATGCGGTTGATCATATCCTTGGCAGAGAAGACTCGCCAAGACCATTTTTTCCTTAGGGTTCCTCATTCGACTTGTAATCTAATATGCACCCAAACCCCTGTTCTACCAGAAACCCTGTTCTAATTATGAACGCCACTACCTTCACGTGTTTTGCAGCCTCAGACTGTTAGTGATTAGATTGAAGCATAGAGCCCTTGAGACCGTCATGCCCGAATCTGCCTTTACATGTCGTCATAGGTTTTCCTATGTGTGTAGGGTTTTCCATGCGTTTCAATTTGTCTTGATCTGTTTCTGTTTGTTGTTGATGGCATATTCGTACATATATACATATATACATATGTATATACACACCAACATTGGTGCCTAGGTCTATGCATGCCAGTATGTGTGCGTTTGTACATGTAACCATTTATGTAACACGGGCAGTATGTTGTGCCGTCTACAAGTATCGTACCGCGCAGTGTGTACATAATGTTTTCCAAGTGTTTCGTCGCAACGTTATGTAGGGATGTACACAGGTAGCCTTGCAGCACATCGATGCAGCAAGATGTATACGATTGAGTTCTGATGCCCTGGGAAGGTCGTGCTCATGCCTGGCTGGACATCTGCTACTCAGATTCCTTTAGAATTTGTCTGACTCGGGGGAATCACGGCAGGGGAAGCCCCGAAATACTGATGTCAGCACAGACAGGCAGACAGACAGACAGACAGGCGCACAAAGACAGACACAGATTGAAAACATTCTGTTGGGCTCAGGGCTCCCAACAGCCAGGTTCTTGGTTGGCGGACGGTGGAAGGGCTCACATGCCATGCCGAACACATGAGTCTACTTGTCCAAGAATACCCACTTCTGGTACGTGCAGTTCTCACTTGACTGAGCGGCCTAGGGTTTGTTTGTCAAGTGCTACATCAAACCACGTCCCATAACTTTGATTTGCGGTGCAGGCAACAGCATCTTCTAGCATTCGTTGAATTCTGTACTGCAGTCAAAAGCAGACAACTCGCGCAGAGTAGAACCCATCGTGTGGAATCCGCGTTTTTGCTGTTGGTGTTGAAGGGGAAGGTCGCCACGCACATGGTCGCACATCATCGCGGTGTGCACGTGAGGGTGGGTCTAATCCATGCCTGCTTGCTCGTGGGGCTTCTGTCGTGATGTAGAGAGGTCGCACTAGTTGTTGTGCCCCAGCAGGTTTTCGTTCTGTGGTGTCGGGCACTTTGATCTTCGGGTTTCTACCGAACCTTACCTGCCACTTTCGGAGAACCCGGGCGTTAGGGTTTAGGGTGTGCTCAGCAGGCCGTGCACAGGCACGACCCAGTCCTCTCATTTAAACTCACAGCAAGCCAAGCCAAAGCCATCCAAAGCAACAACAACAAGCCAACAGTAGAGCCACACAGAAAGATAAAGCACATCATCATGTGGGAATCTGGGTTCGCATCAGATGGTGGATGCAGCCGGCACATCTGGGAGAGGTCAAGGCGAAACGCTTAAGGTCGCTATGCCTACCTTTGCGAACGGTAAGTTCTGTGCCAAAGTCCAAACATATCCGTTTATACATGAGAAATTTGGGTGCCTTGAATCTGCCAGCTCTGAGCCCCAAACCCTCTGCAGAGAAGGACTCTTGCTGACCAAGCTTGGCGATGTAGGCTTTATCATACTTATATTGCAGCGTCTTACAAGTACTTAAACTCAACAAGACATGGGAAATTTGGATTTTTACTATCCCAACCATGAACTGGTAGAGGGGAGCCCTCTCAGGCCCGGGCCGCCTTGCCCGGGCTTGCATAGTCCCCTGGTGAGAAGGACAGGGTGGTGGGCGGGGTTACGCAACCGTTCCGATGTGGGGGCCTACAGGGCCCTTGCCTTTGTGTCGTGTAGAGTTCGGCAAGATCAGAGCAAGTTCGGAACAGCAGGGGAGCCTCACAGGCCGGTTAAGCTAGACAGCATGTCTTGAGCTTTTCGAACCCTGCAAAGGGATGTGCCTGGGCTTTCCCGAACATATGAGACCGTGTGTTTCGCAGCTCCTTAATTAGAATAGGGTTTTGGGGGTTCCTTACCATATTTATAGTATTATATGCCTAAAAATCCTATTCAAGTTATTGCAAAAATTATTATTTCAGTGTGGTCCCTTGAGATGTGTGGGACCTTTGAGGTAACAAACTCCGATGTCTCGTTCCCTCGAGGTCAATGCATCGCCCAAGCCTGCCGAAGCCATCCGAGATGCAAAGGGATGATGCGCGAAGAAAAGTGTGTGTGCACGTTTAGGGTTTTAGGGTTTAGGGCTTCGGGTTCAGGGTTTAGGGCGGGCGGCGCGGGTAAAAGCTCTTGGATCTCCAGTACCGAGCATTCAGCATCTTTGGGTTCCAAGGCCTTTTCATCTAAAGCCGAAGCTTTGTTTCTCTTGGGTGTGGAACTGTGTAGAGGGGGAAGAAGCAAGTCCATGATGTTTTTGCTGCCCGAAAGCTACCAACCCCGAATTCTGAAAGAGCTGACCCTCCAAGTTCACCCAAACCTGACCCGCAAGCCCTTTTGGGGCTTAGGGTTTGGCCAGTGTTAAGTGTTTAAGAGTGTTTGGCCAGTTTCAGTTGTTGAGAGAGTTAAAGGCCGGTTTTATGGCGATCCTGTAACCATGACCCAGAGTCTGCGAAAACACAGGGCATGAGAACTTTACCCCGGTTGGTGAGCATGCTATACCACAGCTTCATGGAGCAAGTCTCGGAAGAGAAGAACATAAACCTTGAACCTTACCCGAAGCTCTAGAATCGGCCTCTCCAGCAAAGGTGGGCGGAAAGGAGCCAAGGGTGGCTACAAAGGTGCCCAGGTAGCTACTCGGCGTCGCAGTCTGTAATTACACTTGGAGGGATTTCGAGGTGAGGACGTTGAGACTAAAGGTTCGAGTGTAGATCTTCGAATAGTTTAGGGTGTAGGGTTTAGGGTTTAGTGGTTCCTGGCATATGCGTAGTCCAGGTGTAAAAGGGGTTTCAGATTGTACGGCGACGATCTAGCTCGGCAAATCGACGAATTCGCCCAATCATATGATGAAAGGAACTCTCAATCATGGCCACAGCCCGCAAGCCCCAAAACAGCCTTGGGACAATATGGAGGTCTGAAGACTTTGTGATAGTACCCCCTGTACTGAAGCTGTTTTAGTCCCCACCTTATAATCTTTTCTCTATAAATCGAATAACTATCATTACAAGCCCCGAAACTGCTTGAGTCGAGCAAGCCTTCGTCCAAGGAAGCAGCCTCCAGAACAGTAGCGGCAAGCCCCGCCCAAATGACGGTCACTTGGAGTTGTTGTCTGCAAGACTCATTTCAGGAGCGGGGTTTTGAATTTAGGGTAACATAGGGGCCTCAATAACTACCTATATTATTTTGGGGGCTCCTTATTATAATTATACTATGAAGGACCCCAAAACCACCCAAAACCAGAGTCCAACTATTAAGGCCCCTAATTACGTTTACTGGGTTCAGGCCTGCGGCGGGATACGCAGTTCGAGTTTGGCCATGAAGGGCTCGGACACCCTGGTATACACCCTAAACCCTAAACCCTAAACCCTAAACCCTAAACCCTAAACGGGCTTACACCCATTCTCAGGCAACGGGTTGGGAAGATGGGGTGATTGTTTCAGGACTTCACATATGTGCGGTTTAGGGTTTAGGGTTTAGGGTTTAGGGTTTAGGGTTTAGGGTTTCACACACATCGTATACATGTGGTGAGTGTTTTCGTGCCTCTCGTTTTCCTTACTTCTGCCCTTCTTCTTTGTTTAAGTATTTTCCTGGATTCATCTGCCACTTGCATCGGCTCGCTTGAGAGCAGCCGATCCTCTCAACAACCTGGTGAGCCCAGGCCACAGTACATTGTAGCAAGAAGGGATAGATAACTCCGAAATCCCGCAACGCACGAAAGCCCTTTAACCCGAAGCCTTGAATCTGAAAGCCGGTGAGGCTTCGGGAAGTATAGTTTACAACAGCCTCTGACCCCTGGCACTGGCACAGAAGAGCGTCGGTTCCTGCATTCCTGAACCCTGAGCCAAGAAGCCCGACAGCCTGAAAACGCTCAGGAAAGCTGGGGCAACTATGCCGAACCGGGAAGCAGACATGCTTCCAGCTGGAGTGATTATGCCGAGCCAGGACGGGTTCCGACTGCTCCCGCAGGCGTGCGGGGATCCAGCTCAAAGCTTAGGCCCCAGACATGAACACCAAGGCTTTCAATGATACACACACACACACATATATATATATATTTATTTATTTATTTATTTATACAGATACATATGGGAGTGTATGTTATGCTGAATATTCTTTGCACGCCAGAGCACAATTTTGGATGTGACACTGTTCGCGCGCGACATTGGCAGCCACAATTTCGAACGGCATGTGCTCTGGGTCAACAACGATGCAAACCCGAGACCCAGACCTAGACACGATGCATATGATATAGAGTAGTAACTCATACTACTGAAGGCTATTATAGCACATTACCGCATATTCTAGCATACAGTCCTCCATATCATGACGAGATTTAAAGCTCCGAGGTTCAGGGTTTCTCTTCATGTTTTGCGGGCCAGGCCTTAAGTTGAGTGTCTCAGGGTTTACATGAGCTTAACATCGTTTGACATAGCTGTCAATGTTGGTTTGGATGGGCGGTGAGCCTTGCTATAGAATCAAAATAAAGACGCTGCCAACTTACAGTTGTCTTATGCAGGGCTTTGATTCTACTTGACAGGCCCGTGGATACATCGTGCCGCGAACCAGCCGCCGTACAGAGCGCAAGAAGGCGCAGGTGCTAGCCGACGAGCATTGCTGCAGCGTAGCTCCTCATCATGTAACTCTTTGCATGACTATACTGTATCTCTGCAAAGCATGGCCGCCAGAAGCAGTCAGATGTGTCCGTCAAGCATTGTGCATTCCTTGGGCTCGGCCTAGTAGTATCAGACATGAAGTTGGGCCAGTTACGGAATATAGGGGCCGTAATAATTAGAATAGTGTTTGGGGGGCTCCTTATTAGTTCTATTTTTCGTAGACTATATCCCCAAACCCTATTCTAATTATAAAGGCCCCTACGTTATCTGAGTCAGCCCATGGTTTTTTGGCTTGCAGGTGTTCTCCATATCCCTCGCCGATGAGCAGTATTGAGGCAAGCGTGCGTTCATGAAGCCAGCTGTAGCAGGATAAGCCAAATGGTCCAGTGGCCCGCTCACTGGGACCAGTTTCTGCGAACTGAAGTTTTCGCTGTGAGTTGTGGTCTACACGTTTCAACTTCCTTTGCATGATTACAAGCAGTTGCAGCATTCTCCACGACATCACAACAGCTCGAAAACTTGTTCCGAAGAACGAAGTGCCAGGTGAGCATCTGTGAGCCAAGTGTATATGGCAAATTGTTCGGATAAGGGCTGAGGGTTAAGGATTGTGTCGTCATGTACATACACACACATGCACTCATATCAACAGGAACAGAACCACACATACATGTGTACGTACATGTTCATCGGTCTTACACACACATGGATACAGACATGCTTGCACACCGCTTACATACCTACCTACATACACACGTTCCTACACTGTCCTACACGCGCACTTACGTACATTTGCATTTGTCGTACGTACAGACAAGAACCTAAACGGACATGTATGCACGGATACAGACATGCGTGCATACTCACTTATACATGCATTCATCCATACGTGCATATATACATGCATAGATGCGTATACATACGTACATACATGCATGCATACATGCCCACTTTTACATACATACCTACCTCTATCTACATATACATATACATATACGTACATACGTACATACATATATAAGTGCATACATGCATACGGCCACAAGGGTACTTACATACTCATGTACAAATTCATCATTCTAGTTGACCTGTCTTATATATAGACACATGAGTACATGCATGCATACATAATACGTATGTACATACATACGTATGTTTTCATCCGTTTTACATACACACATGAGTAACAAGTAAAGACATAAATGCGTGCAGACGCACACACACACACACACTTGCATCCGCATAACTGTCTGTGGTTCATGTAGTCATGCATTGCAGACGATGTCCGCAATTTGCGACCTGAGAACCTTACTTACGTTCGAACCATGCTTGTAAAAACATCCGACTCGACATAAACCCCAAATGCCAGTAAATGCAATGATCTTAGGACGAAGTGTTCCAGGGGTGGTAAGAACCTGATGAGAATCCTACCGAAGAAATACTTGAAGACCAGAGCACTTCTGCCTGTGGCACCGTCGCGCGAGTTGCAACTAACGTTTTGTGACACGGCCGCGGGATTTCTCGGAGTTGCATTTCTTCACCTTGGCTTTTGGTCCAACTATCTTGTTAGGAGGTCTTATCCTTAAGTGGGAAGCTTGAGCAGTGGCAGTTCGAGGAGTGGCAAACTGTGTAAGCCTTTAAGAGCTGTGGCTGAAGATTGGGAAACCAATAACCTTAACTCCCAAGCCTTGCTGTTCTTAAACCTCCAGCTACAACTACTACGACTACTGATACTACTACTTCTACTACTACTACTACTACTACCATTACTACTACTACTACTACTACTACTACTACTACTACTTCTACTACTACTTCTTCTACCACTACTACTACTACTACTACTACTACTACTACTACTACTTCTACTACTTCTATTACTACTGCTACTACTACTACTACTACTACTAGTACTACTACTACTACTACTACTACTACTACTACT